GAGGCTTTTAATTTGTTGGCACACTTGAGAAACCTAGGTAGTGGGCATGTTGTGAACATGTATGTAAATTGATGACAAAATCGTAAATTCCCAAAGCACATCTTTGCAGCATCTATGGACAATGCTGAACTCTAAGCCCATACGCCCTCCTCCCCCATGCAGGGGTTCTCCACCCACCTCCTGGGGGTTCACTGAAACCGGGATACCCCATCCATGCCAAACCCAGGATGCCTCCGGCGAAGTCCCGGTACGTGAAGGCTAGCCCCATGCAGTACGCGCTGAAGTTGTAGAGCGAGACATCTGTCAGGAATTCCTCTGCGTCTGGGTAGTCGCCGGAGACAAGGTAGTTCTGTGCATCCACAGACTCAAAGATGGTCATCCCACCGATGGCAAGACCAACATTGTCCGCTGAAGCAGAAAGAAAAGGCCAAGTGCCCCTCGTCTAACAACTTATATTTGTAATATCTATTTCATAACTAAAATTATTTTTGTTACTGGCCACAATCAAGTCTCATATGGCATAGTCCTACATGGTCAATGACATCTCAGAGGCACAAGCAATGGCCCCTCTGTACTGATAAACGAAAATGGTTATTAGCAACCATATGTTCATGCACAAGGGCTTGGTTCAAAATGATTGACGAGTCGAGGGTCCATTAATCACCTGTCATTCAGCAGATGTTGGTCCAACCACAGTTAACTACAGTCGTCATTTGAACCTGTCCTGATTACATGTGCAGTTAATTTACAATACATCATAGCATCTTAGAAGTCATTCAGGCAGTGATCAAGGAAAAGTTTGAGGAACAGTTTTGATCAGTGGGTTTCCTGTGAAAGCATTCACAATAATGGTCCCCATTAGGAAACCTTTGTTAACTGCAGCAGCATGCTGTAACAAATTGACTTATAAAGATGAGTTTGCATTTGTCACTAATACCTCATTTCCAATTTTCAATATTTTCAGTCAAAATACCCAATTTACCGACAAATAACTTTCTCTGTGCCCTGCTAATAAACTTTGCTTTCTAACTGGAACTGATTTTCCTCCATGGGATTCTCTATGACCATGAATGCGTGGTTTGCACCTTCCTCAGCATCTTAATTGCATTAACTTACCACGGCCGTCTCCATCAAAATCTGTGGCCCGGTAGACAGAGTCAGCCTCTGTGATGTGGAATGCCACCTCGGCTGCTGCTAATGACACGTCCCCACCTGCCACATGCTCAAAGAAAGTGTGATCCACGACAACGTGGAGCATGCAGGTCTTGGACGGGCGGTCGTAGGTGGTCAGCCACTCATGCCAGCCGCTGGTGTGATTTCCTTCCAGGTGCACTGCATCTCGAGGAGTCCTGCCCTCACTCTGACGCAATGCCTCGTCTGGCGACATCTGTAGCCAATCAGAATCTGAGAAACTCTGCTTGGCCAGGAGAATGTTTTCATGAGATTGACTGTTGGATGGTGCAGTGGGCAGCTTTCTCTTTCCTACACCCTCAGACAATGAAATGTGGGGAAAGATGTCCTTCCTTTTGTCTGGGTCTTTGTTTCCGCGCAAGGTGTACATTTTTGGGGATATGAGCTTGGCGCCATCCCAGGACAAGCTACATAGCTGACAGGTGGCAGACCGGTTTGTGATGGGTTGGTCCTCCAAGTGAATGTCCCGGGCTCGGTAGATGACCGAACGGAAGCCGGGCCTGGGTGAGCTGAAGTAACGGAAGGACGGCTCAATGTGGAAAGTCTCATAATCAGTCTTGATGATTCCATCAAATGTGCCGTTGATGATGTGTCCATACACTGAGGAACGCTCGTCTCCTGCAAAGCGTGAACGTATAAAAGTGGAACGAATGTGTTTCTTGTATTTGTTCACACAATTGAATGGGTTTCAAGGACTAGAAAAATCGAACCGTATCTTGTGCTCCCCCATTCAAATCCACATCCAGCACTGAATCAAAGTTCCTGTGATTTGCTGCATTTTGCCACACAGGTTACTTTTGAAAATGCTGTCAAGCTGCACTTCTCTCTCCCCTCCAAAAAAATATTACAACAAAACAACAAATTCAAAATAAACCGTTGAGAAATGCGATCAAAACTCAGTGTGATTATTTTGATTGATTACTGGAAAGCACTGCCTAAATTAATTGCACAAACATTGAAGTAACAAAGTTCAAAACTTCCTATTAAAATCTCTTCTTCCAATGTTTTATATATGAGATTCTTCTTTGATTTATTTTTGTCCTCACCAATGACAACTCCTCTATACAGCTGGGAGACCATGTCAGTAGTGTTGACACCTAGAGCACTGACCACATTTAGCTGAGCCCCCGGACTGACAACGTTAGAGTAAGGAGACAGCTGCAAGTGGAATGATCTTTTGTGAAGCAGAAGATAAACAAATAAAGAAACTGTGTCAGAAAAGCTCTACTGCAGGAAAGCTCCATAAAATCCCTCATTCATTTTCAAGTTTTGTAATTATTTGATTTTTGCCTGTTGTATTTACTGTCTTTTCGGTGCTTTTCCCAGTCAGTGATTTTTATTTGCTAATGGTTCAGATTCAACATTCCCACAGGCTGCAATAAAAACCATGTTTCCTAAATCGACATTACTGACTTGTAAGGGTTGGGCACTTTGAATCGGGATCTAGTTTACAAATGCAGATAAAATGTCAACAATATACGTTCCAGGGCCACAACTACAACAGGTGTTAAAGGTTGCCCTTTTTATCTAAATCACACATAGGCCTTTTTACCAACCAGACAGCGCATTATATGCATCACAACATTAAAATGTATGGCAAATTTAAATTCAGAATTTTACCTTTATGTACCTGTATAAATTAGCATTATCATCATGATAGTGGTTGGCCTCAAAAAGCAAATAATGAGGATGAGTGCATAAAATTGAACATTAAAATATACAATAAAACATTAGAACAAGTTCAGATAACAATAAGAGAACACTTTATATTGATAAGTTTTAGAAAAAGCACAAGTCCTTCTTACTTTTTTTGCCCACAGGAAATTTACCAACCTAGTATTCAGATCCAACTCAAATGTGTCCCCTGATGGTTGTTGCTGTCATACATACTTTGCAGTTTTCTTTCATGAGATGGCTACTCATTCCAAAAATACACTAAAACATTTGGGAAGAATTATTGACACATGTACCTAAATGATTTTCTACCAATATATTACCTTCCAAAGGCAGTAAGTTTCCAGGTGATGGAACTGTCATTATATAACTGGCCCATGTGGTTTCTTGGTTGACTGTTGTGTTGAGCATCAAGAGGACCCACATCGTAATTCAGGGGCTCAAAATGGTGTATGTATCTGCTCAAGGGCATTCCTATATAAAATGAATCAAAACTGCAATTATTTAAAGCTGTGAATTTAAAGGAAATCACACACACAGAATTTTGCACATCTTAGCAAGGTTTGGGCCAATTTGGTAAGGAGACACATGAAGGCTTTTTACCTCCAACCAAGGATGAATCAGACTATGATTAAAATTTCAAAGTCAACTCAAAGCAGACCTTTTACATTAGAGAAAGAGACCCTTGAGGAAGAACCTTTTGTGATCCATTTTGTTATTTAAAGGAAAGCAGGTCATTCTACCAAGCTTTCTCTATATAAAATAAGTGCCATGCTTATAATAAGCATAGTAGGCCTTTTCACGGGTAAATTCTCTCAAGTTAGTGAATTTTCAGCATATGCCTGCATATTTCACTACACAATATTTTGCCGGACACATGCGCACTTGAAAATTCTTACTGAGACCTATCTTAGTCTGGTTCTGTACACAGTTGTTGTGACTTTGTATTTACAAGGTGGGAATCAGACCATTTTTACAAATTCACAATTTTTACCCTTAAAAAAATCTTCCAGAGTCAAGAATTGAAAAAGAAAAGAATTAGAAAAAGGAAATGTAATACTCTGTAATTACAGTTCTGTGCAACTGGTTTGATAAACAGATTACTCAGACTTCAAGAAACCGTTTTGCAAATAATCAATTCAGCAATGTTTTATTAAAATTATGATCCACTGGTTTTTATAAATGTAACATACTGAATATTAGTGATATTTATTTATTACAACTATGTACCTTCACACATCAACGTAATACATGTAATTCTAGACTCCTGAAATCTATCTCCTCGATGTCGCCAAAAAAGTGAACATCCATCACCAACTCGACGATGTTCGGACTTCCACTATGCCCTTCACATACCAAGCTTGCTCCTAATACAGTTAGGTATGAAGTGCCTAAACTGAGGAATTCACTAGACTATTCCTTGTAAAATATTTGCATTCAATCTCTATTTAAACTCATATAAAACTCTACTGAAAATTACTTATAAATTAGTCATTTATTAACAGGTTTGTACTGGTTATGTTTATGTCTCTTGTAATAATTACTATGTTTATATGTTTATAAATGCATATTATATTTCATTTAACTTAATGACTGGCGGTCACTACTTAAGGATACCGTGCACGACGGGTACCCCCCCACATGTCCAATCTCTATACACACTCTAGACTATTGTCACCTAACACATCCCCCAGAAGTCTGTAAAGAACTCCTGAGATTCCAATCAAACAATGACCAACACAAAGGTGGGGGCGGGGTTCTCTCCGCCCAATATCTTGCGTCATGTGTAGACAAGCCCTGCTTTTAATAGACCCCATCCACATTTATTGATGTGAATCCTTTTGAAGCAAGATAGAGGACGTAGAAACGCCCCTCCCTTTTTTGTGTTGGTCATCGTTTGATAGGAATCTTAGGAATTCTTTTCAGACATCTTGGGGGAGGGTGGTACCGGGTAACAATAGTCTAGAGTGTGAATACGGATTGGACATGTGGGTGGGGTGCCCCTCCATCCCATATATTGCCGGGTATAATGTGAATCTGTGATTTTTTAAAGCTTTCATAACATTGTTATGTGGGAAAATAAAGTAACAATGATTGCTAAAAAAAATCAAATGATGGAGTCAATTTAAAAATAACAAATAGAGAAAATTCTTGATTTGGGGATACAAAAAACAACAAACCAACACGATGACAGCTGGGAATTGAACCCAGCTGGGAGCGCATCTTGTGATCACACAATGTGCATGCCTAAGCTTGCCACTAGACAACCAATCCTACTTGGAGTATTGTAGGAATTTAATAACCTTTCTACTAAGCTTGCTCGTGTATGCATGAAAGAAGGCACTGTCTACTCATAGCCAGCTGATCATCATTTAGTTACATTAGCCGGCGACAGCTAAATATCCACTTCTCTTCTCTAAAAGTAGTTAACACTTCCATTCTGACTATTCCTTTTAATAAAGGAAATTCTAGGCTTAGCCTATTCCAATATCATAACCATATTATTTATTTTAAAAAATCAGAGATTTCACAATTTGGGGGGGGGGGGACTAGGCCTCACATAGGCCCCCTACCTCTATCTGTGTTTTTTTCCTTTGCATCCCCAAAATAAAAATCTTCATTGTAACTTGCAAAATGATGCTTGGTCGGGGACAGACCCAGACAATTTTCCACAGGGGATCAAGCTTGAGGTTTGTTTAATGTCTCATTTTGTTGACAAACAGAAATAGTGATGAAACAAATACATGGCATGCATCGTTGCAATGGCAGACCTGTTGCATATTGATACAATTACTTTGGTTATTATTATCATACCCGCCTTTCCTTTTCCTATACCATATTTTCTGTTTGGGGGGAGGTCTCAGAGCCGGTGGTCGACCCCCTACCTCCTGGAGCCATGCCTGTTGCTACTAAAAATGCTTGTGTTGGTGGTAGGCTTTGAAAAGATAAGTGCCAACTCTTAGAAAAACTTAAGGTGATGTGATGATAAGGTGACGGGCATGATAAAAATTACAAAAGTTATCATTGGTTTACGTTGAACAAAACTTGTGAGGAAAGGTCCATTGGCCATCAGTTTTTACATTTACATTTTTGAGCCTCAGGTTTCTTGTGTTTGCATTTGTACTAACCATCTTTGTTTTCAAGCTTGCAGACTGTTTGACGTGGGGAGAGCAGCATAATGAGGAGTGCTAACAACAGATGACGATTCAATGCCATGATTCGCCTCCACCAGTCCTGGCGTTTGCTGTAAACTTATCTCACCAACATGACCGAGGCACCTTTGGCCTTGGCTTGCGGCGCCCTGCAACACTTCAGCTTGTTTGCGTCTTGACACCTTCCAACAGTACAGTCACCGTTAGCAACCACGTGAAGAACTCGTTCTCACGTTTATTTCGTTACATTTTCCGGTATTTTGCCATTGTCAACAACAAAACAACATGCGGTCAAGCCAAGTTGTAAAGCAACAAAAAGAAAACAAGTTGCAACCTGTTGCCACTGTACTGACGTAACACGACTAACTCGTTGTTACACGACTTTTTAATGCACAGTCAGTGTAAAGGTACGGTGCGCCGGCGCGGCGCTGAACAACAAAGTTTACGCGCATGCGTACAACTAACAACATTACCCATCAACCTTTGCGCAAACACAAACTTTTTAAGTGTGATTAACAAGCCTGTTTGATGCAATGGACGGACCTTTAGGTTTTCGAGGGAAAACATAATTTCATGTTGTTTTTCAGGAGGTTTTAGATTAAACTTTATTTTCCATTAAATGTCTTTCAGCAATCTATATTAATGACATCAACACGTCCCCAGATGGAAAACAATCCATTTCTTGAAAAAAAAAACAAAGAAACAAACAAACCTTGGAAATATGCTTGCATCCTCAAAATAATCCATAAATGGGAGCAATAGGTGTACATATCGTTTGTCGTACCACGATCTGACCTATCTCAGTTTCTGACATTTCGAGAAAAAAAACGTGTTTGTAGTTGGGTCCGTTTTGAATCTTTGATTTCCCCCACAATGCTAACTTTTATTGACACAGATTTCGTATTTTAATAAAGTTAGATAGTTACATTACTATATGAGATATTTCGTTGTGAAAAAAATCTTACGTACGAGGTTAAAACGAGGCATCGAAACCATATGTCACTTTGTTAAATTTTTATTGGCTGACATTGGGTCGTATGAATAAAAAGTAGCATTTGCTTTTACTACCATTTTTGAAGCATGTACTCGTGTTGTATGAATAATAATGAAGCAAACGCTTTTACTTTAGTGCAACTGCTAAAAAGTAAAAGTATTTACTTTTTTACTCTTTAAGCTTGTGCTTGACTATAAGCAGTTACTTCATTTTGTATGAATAAGAATGAGTCAGTTCTACAGAATTAAAGTATTTACTTGACATTTTTCAAGACTGGGTCAGGGGAAGCTTGAAAACGAGGAGCACTTACTAATTTTCAAAATGGCAGCGTTCATGAATGCCATTCGAAAAGAAAAGCTGTATGCCTTTAGGAGAGAATCTCAAGAGGCCAGATGCAGGCAGTTGTACCGATTTGAGTGGTAGAGCAATTTTCTTCATCAAGGTTTTTGCGATCAAAAATTACTGCCATCATGCTTCTCTCCCATGCTGAGATCTCAAGATACAGCACCTTGCTGCACTGTATGTGTCTGTACTCTACGTGCAGACAATGGAAGCCCTGTTGTGCAAACCGATCGGTTGTGAAGTCAGCCACAAGTATAAAGCATTTGCTACTATTTGTACAAGCAGATGCTGAACAGGAAAAGAAACATTTTATTTATACAAATTCAAGCAATTGCTTATTCTTAATGCTTTTACTTTTCTCAGTGAATGCTTTTGCTGTTTGCTTGAACTTCATAGCATTTGCTAGTTTTTATGACCTACTGGTATGGCGTGTGTGCATACGCGCACTGACTTTTTCACGGTGAACTGTATGGAGGTTCGTTTAAAATCTTTCACCGAGTTTTGTTTATATTTTTCAATTAAAAAGGTCTTACAGAGTAAAACTTTGCGAAAGCTGAAGGAAATTAGAAGGGGGACCCCCTTCCGGAAAGTCATGAAATCATGAAAATTTGAGGATTTTGGATTAACAAACAAAACAAAACAGTGATTATAAGACACAGAGCCTCTACAAAGCCAATTTATACTGGAAAGTTTATTTTGCAATACAAGTATCATTCAAAGTAAAATCCTGTCAGTTCTACAATAATTTCATGCAAAAAAGAATAAGTTTGCATGAAGACTGCACCACAAATTTGTCTGCCTCCACCTGAAAAATGTACATGGAAATTTCATTGATAATAAAAATGTACGTCATGTGTCGCAAATGAACATCACTACATGTGCTACAATTTATACATTTTAGCTCATATATACAAGTATTCTGTGGCCTTTGGTTTTTGCCAATGCTACTTCATGCAAACAAGTTGTAGAATGGCCAACCTATTCCTCTTTTTCAAATAGATATTTTTCGACACACACAATACAAGTGCAGAAAAACTCAGCTGCACTTGGCTAACTTCCCATCGACCACAGCAAGGCATGAAACAAAACTGTTGGTGGTGATGATCCTGGAACAGAAATGTGTTGATAGACATCTTTGCCAGTCAGTGAACCTGACACAGAAGAGAACATAATCATATGTTTATAATTGGTCTACCAGACCATCGAAGACAACATATTTACCAGACAAAATCTACCCTACAGCTACTTTTTTTCTCGTTAATATGAAATCTGTTTGACTAGTCTACTACATCTACCAATGCACAGCCTACGGTTAAAACAACCCTCTCAAATGCTGAAGACTCCTCTAATATGGTAAACAACAGAGAAGTCGGGGAAAAAAACAAGAAAATTACCATATTTCAATGACTATCAATGGGGAATATCCATTACAGCTAAATAAGTTTGCTTTTTTGCAATTTCTGAGTTTAAGTGTTAAAAATAAACTTTTCTTTAGTAGACAGGTATCTACTCTGCAATGAGGTTAAACATTGATCTGGATAAGGGACACTTTACCCTCATTTACAATGATGCAAGGCAGGTATTGAAAGTGCGGCCAAATCCAGTGGACCACAACTATCAAATTTACAGTTTCTTGCCACCCATTTCAAAAGCCTAGAGCCTATTGGTCAATCCAGAGACTTAAGCCTATTGCATGAGGGTCACAAAGGCAGAGGGTAGGAAAGGTAAAAAAAAATCACAAAATCAGAAGAGGAAAAGGAATGAAAAACATAGGAAATTGATAAAAATCACCAGCTTGCATGGAAAAAAAAAATACCTCGGAAGTGCCCTCTCATTTCATTACTCATGGTTTGCCAGTGTGCTCTTGCCAACTACTTTATCAGCCCCCCCTCCCCGACACCCATGTTTCTGTACATTTCTTTTACCAGTTCACTTGCCTTGGTCAAAGCTAATGGAATGCTGCCCCTTTTCCAGTTTGAATGGTCCAGTGGCCTTGGAAAGGTTAGATTAGCACAAACTATAGTTGGACCACTATTCAACACCTTTACAATACAGACGTGCAATAGGGCTCCATTTGAATGACCAATGCTAGTTGAACTCTTTTGCAAAACTTCATGGTCACAATATTTTGCTGCTTGCTGGTCAATGATGTGTGAATGATTCCCTCCATGCTGATACATCAAATCTGATAATCAACATCCCACAGTGCAATCATGCCCAAAAGGCTGGTTCCAAATGGTCTACTGAATGCTTGAAACCACCCACTGTTCAGATGATGGTCAAACCATAGTTACATGCAACTATGGTTGTGACCTCAACTTGTCCCTTGGTTAAGGCCAGTGAACGGACACATTTGGAGAGGACTGCCCTGGTATGCGCTCCTTCAGTGTAAACAGATGTGTTGAACATGAAAATTTCTGACAAATGAACCCCACTATTAAAAACCTTCAGAGGTGGCCGTGGCTGACAAATACAGCTAATCCACAAAGTCAACAACGTGCAACTAGCTTAGGCTGAGGATCATATCCTCTATTTTGAACATTAACCATGTGCTCATTTCTACTTTTGTGTTTCATCGTATGAGGTCCTGTAAATATCAAGGGTCCTGTAATAAAAGTCCAGATTTCAGGTTCCTTGATTTTAACTACTCGGCAAGAACTGAAAATGACCGTTAATACCGGCACCTGTCATTCCTTAATTTATCACACTACAACGGGAAAATTATCTACAAATAGAGCCTTGTTTGGTTCCCCATTAATTTACATTGTAATATAAATTCCCGGCACAACAAGATGCTACACTACAGTCTTTGGCATGAACCGACAAAACTTCAAAATTTCAAACTTGTAATTCAAGGCAGCTTGAACCGACACAAAGTACCATTGTGTTCTGCTTGGAGAGAGAACAAATCGGCAACATTCCACTGAAAAGAATGTCTGAACCGTAATCAACATCTGGCAGGGTAGCGCCACATTTCTTAACCCAAGTACGTCAACAGATTGGTTGAAAACTGACTCTGAGGGGTATTTCACGCCCGAAATGTAGGAAGGCCTTTGCTAAACAAAACTGTAACGTATCCGTACAAATAAATTCCAGTTGCTACAGACTTCAGATTGGAATTCTGCTACTCTCTTCAAACAAAAAATCTTGAATGTGGTCATGAATAGAGGTTATGCGTTGGTGGCGTCTCCGGGGTTTCTCAGAGGCTGTTCTTGTAATTTCAATTTAGTTACAATGAATGCATAAAAGGTTTACTCCAGCCTATCCCTGTGATACAAAACTTTTGCCCTCTGAGGACGCGTTAACGCATAACCTCTATACTTAAGCGAATTAGACATACAACATGCTCCCAAATCATCTGTACTTACTCACTTAATGGTAATCATTTCTTCAATGACAAAACCCCATCAACACTCTTATATACACATATACAAAAAAAATCCACTATGTGTGTACACCATTGTCCAGTAAAATTGCATGAAGACGAGCAATGCACTTTTTTCCATTTAAAAATAAATTCAAAATTTGGAATAGGCACAAATGCAACTGTTGCAGCTTTTATCAAAATGGGCTTGCTGAAATAGAACATTTGGGATTTTTTTTGTTTGCTCAAAACAGATCTCCACACAGATCCAGTGTATTTCAGGCCAGCAATAACTGGTAAGCGAGTCTATCACATTTCACAAAATGTGCAAGCCTTTGAATAGCATCATGCCAGGGAATTGCACATCAATTGCACATAATGGATTAAATTTTAGCGAGGCTACATGTATACACTGTATTTCTGGTAAATGTGCATGCGTGCAAGTCATCAACCCTCTTGCCATTGGCCCTCTCCAACCCTTTCGATAATTCGTTGCTCTAAACACCCTGTGTCAACCTTCAACGCAGTGGGTAGGTTTGGACAGCCCCACCAGACTATACAGCCAAGAGTAAGATGACTGAAGTCTTACCGGTTGGGTTCGTGTGTGGTGTTCTCTACATGCGCGCAGTATGAATGATAAACTTTAACCTTTCTGCTATCTTGGAATGACCACACGATGCAGGAGTTGATTGAGATCAATCTGGCCGATCTAGAGTACACTTTCACTTACTCGCACGGTGCAATTCTGCCCTTAACCTTCTCCATAACCTTTTTAGGTAAGGCTTCCAACTAAATCTCTGCCTCTATCATTACTATAATGTTGACGGCTGTTTTACTCAAAATGAAATGTCAAGGACCAAGTTTCATTTAACATGTTAACAGACTGTTTTTTGTTACTTCAGTTTTAATCAAGTCTTGTGCACCTACGTAAACTTTGAGAAGTGCTACTTTCAATGGCTGCATCCAAACGTTGTGGCTGCGGCTGGAAATAACATGTGCACCAATGGAAGGCAAAGGCAGCTGTAGCCATTTCCCATAGACACATGCTAATCCTGACTGCAGCCAGTTGCGAATGAGATGCCAAAAAATGTTGTATACGTGCCTATATAGTTACAATGTTTATGTAATCATTAAGGATATTCCTCAACATTAAGATATCTGTGCTTTTGTTGTGATCAGTAAAATGTAGATCCCTAATATCAGTGTAAATACACATACATATAGGTGAGCAGCATGCACAACATTGAGTTACAACAATTATCGTTCATATGTTCACATTTTACCTTTGACCTTAGTATCTTATATGAATGTTAGTTTTCCTCCGAAATGACCTTTTTGAAGATTAAACATTTTATAATGGAATTCACGGATAACGTTGTTCTCATGCTAGAAGAAAACTCGTTGCTGTGACATCAAATTAATTGTCTTCTGGCTCCATTACAGCTGAGCAACCACCAGTGGTCTTAAAAAAAAAAAGAATGAAGCATAAAACAAATTAGTTATTACTCTCAGGAACGAAGCCCCACCTGGAGACCTGGAATGTCACGCAACTGTGTGTAGGCTTTGCACACAGCAACTGATTCATGGCATTACAAATTAACAATGTCAGTTAGCCTTTCATTTTGGGCACGGCTGATAAAACGACTGTGCAAGTCACATTTTCATCATTTGTTCCACTCATATGACGAATCAACATTTACAGCTCCTCTTTTCCTGCATTTTTTGCACAAGTCATACGAAATGATATGTCTCAGGCTAATAAATGTGAAGAAAATTGTATAGATCCCAGGTACAGGGTTCCAGTCACAGTATTTCCCCCCCCCCCATAAATGAAAGAGCTGTTGAATCTGTCGTCTCTACTGACCAATCAGGCTCAAAATCACAAAGTCCGAAAACGAATGACATTTTTCAGAGCCCACTCTTCCAAATCCTTTTTCCAGGGTGTCGCCTATGGTACCTTGTGAACAGTATGAGGTCAGAATTCACATCTAGATAATAAACAGTTTTAAAATGCTGAAGTTTCAAATCACAAATCAAAAATAGTCTCTCTATTTCTTTCGCGCATAAAGAACAGATCATAAAGTGCCTGAACAGCCAAACCTCATCCTTCCACAACCTCAAGGAAAAAAATCTATGGAACTGCCCTCCAAAAAAAAAAAAAAAAAAAACCAGAAAAGGCTAGCACCTACCAGAGGTGTGCGCTCCCCAAACTTGCTCCAAAATGTCACCTTGGCCACATGTTTTTTGCCTGTCCGTTGATCAAAGGAGAAACAGCTGTCAAACGGTGGCGAGTAGAGGTGGAGACTGCAGGCAGTGTCTGTGTGGCTCACATTCTCAACTCGGTGCAGTCCGTGGCTATCTGCATCGTACATCACAAACAGAATATGATTGGAAACGCCATCACAGGGACTTGCATGTAGCTGGAAATCTCATGTCGCACAGGGTGGGCAAGGAAATGTATGGGCTGAGGGATCTGAGGGGGGCATTATTCTGTGATGAAATTTAGAAAATCTAAATCTGTTTTTAAAATTTGCTAAAAAACCGTGCAAGGCTCTGTTTTAATAATTGGTTTGGAGCATTTAGCGGAAATGACCAAGACAAAGCCAAGCCGTGACGACAAACTACTAATTAAACATTTTTTTTTACCTCTAAGTACTGAAAGGTACCAGTATGCTGAACATACCGTATCTGTCTGATAATGTTGAAGAATTCTCTTAATAAATCAACATGACATTAAATATTTAAAGTGATTCCAGCAAGCTATGGCTCTCCAAGTCCATTGAATGCCTTGATGGTTTGGTCTTGTCCTTTCATCCCTCTACATGTATTTTTTTCTGACTGAGGACAGCTGGACTAGCTGGATTGCTTTTTATACCCATACGGTCTGGGAGAAAACGTGAAATTGTTCAACACTGAAATAACCTGGAATGGAATTGAATAGAATAGAATGAACAATTTTTACAAAAAAGAACCGGTCAAGGATTTTTACCAATGACTATTATACTCAGTGAGCATCTATCACAAAACACACATAACTACCTATTGCTCCACCTGGATTGAGCACAAGAAAATGATGTAAATCCTCATTAGCAATTAGCTGAAGCATACAGCATGGAAGCAGACATCTCTACCTCCACACGTACAGGTAGCATTTAGAAACACCATGTGCCCTGATCATCACTCACTTTACAATTATTTTGTCCGCAGGAAGCAGAAGGGTTTTACCAAAAATGGTAGCTATCTACACACGGGTACTGTACAATTGATGTATACAATGGACAAAATCCTCGTTTAAAAGAGATCTTCAAAGTATTTTCAAAAATAAAAGACAGATACTTTTCCATGGCAGAAGACCCAAAAGGTTGGTTCCCCCCAAAACAAGAATTCCTGGATTCCCCTGTCCTGCCTGCCTTTCTAAATGTCATCTTAAGGCCAAGGATCCCTGCTGGTTATGTGATGTTCTATTGTGATTCAGTGTGGTGTGACTAAAGGCCACAGGTCTGACACCTAAAGCAGAAGGTGAACCAACTATTCGTTCTACAGTTACTTCTGAACACAGTCTGGTACCTTCATAATTTCTGCCCTAAGCTGAACTACGGGTATATGTATATGTACGGTTGGTCGGTTAAGGGGCTATTATTGTACCATACAGCTATAAAAAAAGGGAAGTACATGTACATATGTAAAACCATTAAGACACGTTAAGAGTCCATTTCATAACTTTCTTCAAATTTCATTTCAGAAAGGTGGGCAGAATACTTGTAACTTGAAACAGAAAACGCATTTAAACACTTATATAAATGACGACATTTTTACAAAAATAGAAACTTCATGACTGGGTCATCATGTGGTATTGATATGAATATTGAAAGCCTTTTTCAATTCTACTTTAAAATTCACTTTAAAAATGGGCCATTTTGACAAATGAATTTCAAATTATACATTTAACCAAACATATCAATGGCTAAAAAGGCAGGTGATCTTGTAATTTTCTTATTTAGACATTTCCTTGAGAATGCAAGGCTCGTTCTAACATGCTCTGTTCATAATTCTACTCTTCTCAGATTAGTTATCTTTCATGGATGAAAGACCGGTACATGTAGGCTACCCTACAAGGTGAAGAAAAACCCAAGTCGTGTCCAAGCCAACTGTCTTTTTGCAGGCCGAGTGGATTGATTTTTAATTTTTACAACTTAGAAAAATTAGAAAACCAAATATGTCAGCCACATTGAACCAATCCATCAATAACATAGTTGTAAGTCCAGAGCTTCAAACTTCAGATCGTCAGTCGCTTTTTACATCATGCAGTTGACTGTGTTATCTCAAAACACCACATCATCTCCATGGATGTGTGTACAATTTGTGGCACTTTATTCTTTTGAAACCGTGCTACCTGTACATGTACGTGGGTGTTTATTTATATATGGGTACCAAAGTGTGACACAGGGGTCAATTTTTCAAAACAGATTCATTGTAATTTTATAGACGTGGATGACAAAAGCATTTCTCATATTCTCATAGTTCATATAGTTGCCAAAGTTCATATTCCCAGAAAGTACAGCATAAACCTGTGAATGGTATTTGATGTGTTTCACACGTAACAAGGAAACCATTGTTCCATTTTGAAATTCAGCAACTGCTTACATCAGTAGATATGCTAGAAGAAAAAAACTAACAGACAGCTTTAGAGATAGCTTTTTGACCTTCACAGGAAAAAACACAGCACAATTTTAACACATTTTGTTGGATTTTGCTCTTTTTTGTAGCGTGTATCTGAAATCTTTACCTTTTGATGAAGCATAAGTCTCTGTGTGTGCAAATGTAGCCTATAAATTAAAAGTTGATCAATTTAACATGTGCCTTCCTAAAATCATCATTTCCTACTTGGAAATGCATAGGGGAGGTACTCAATTGGGGCATTTCACGTGAAACACGGAAACCCAATTTTTGTTTCCAGGTCACACGTGAAACCTGGAACAAAAATACATGCACAATGGACTTTTTGTTTTACTTGGTTAAAACAACAAAGTTTCCATACAAGTATATAAGTACAATGAATTGTTGAAGGTCATTTAGGACCAAGCAGCATGTTTCATTTTTTGGAAAATGCCAAATCTTTCCAGAATTTGGTTGAATTACTAATTATAACATATTGCGTACCTGAAATACTGCACCGTCCTGTTTCTGTACTGTTTTTGTACAAGAGAACACAACTATTGGGTATAAATTGAATGTTACTAATGAAGTTACATGACATTCAACTGATATGCATAATTGAGATCGTGATTTATTCGTCTCGGATTTAATTTGATTTTTTTGTGAGGCCATCTTGGAACCTAACTCTTAAATTGAAGGGCAACATAATTGATGACAGCAGTAAATCCTCATTGATCACCTTTAATAAAGAAGAAAAAGATCCCAATTGAATTACAGATTTTTGAAATTAACGATAAATTAATTAATAAAATACCGTAATGAAGAATCTAAAGTTTTACATCGATTTGCGGGGCAAAAAGTGCGCGAACAATTTGTGGTGCTCTTGGCTGAACCATTATGCCATCGGGTCAGTCGGAGAATAAAACTTTAATAAAATGTTCCTAAATGGTTTACTTATCCCTTTTTACCAATGAATATGGTGCATTGCGGGCCACAATGTGCGTTATGATAAAGCGTTTAACGATCGTCAAATAGACAAGATACATTTAGAGCACAAATATTTACATAGACTGTAACCCCCCCCCACAATTGAATGGTTTGTTCCAGGCCGAGCAGACAGAAAATCTAGAACTAAACTTGCCTTATACTTAGCAGGACTTGTCATGTTGTCATCAGTTTTATTAGACAGGCCAAATGGTAATATAAATCAACTGATCTCGGGGTACTTAGGTGACCCGACCAGGCCAAGAGGTCAGGCTGCAATTAAATTTGCAAAATGAATTCAAATTGTCAAAATCCGTAGACCTCCATACACACACACATCTGCCCTCTTTTCAGAGAACTTCCTCGACTTGAGCCCAATTCCCACAAGATGCAACCATTTCTCAACTACACATACACTGTATTTACAACGGTGTCAACATTCCTTCACAGTGTTCATGATTTGGCAGAGCACAGTGAGATACTTCCCCAAGTAACCGGCTTGCCTGGTCGGTTACTTCGGAACGGTCCAAGTAAGCACATGGAGTTATGTGGGTACATGTATCAAATCAAATAAAGTAACGCTTGCACATGTTGCATGAATACATGCAAGCCGGTTGGGGGGAAGGGAAGTAATCAATCACACTGCATATTTTATTTGCCACCTGCTACATTAAGGGAGAAAATAGAAAATGAAAAGAAATCCATGAAACCTCAAGCTGAGGGGGTAACAACGCCAACAATAAAATGCTACACTTGACCTCACAGGGCTTTGAATAGCTCTCTCCCAATAGTTCTCTCCCAAGTGGTTATGATTAGGAGAGTTTGGGTGTTTGGCTTTTTTATACAAATGGCAAAAGAGTCACAGTAATAAAATAATGAAACATCTGAAAATCCAGAATTTAGTTTTTAGTTCCAAAATCCTTAAATCTGGAAGAAATCCTGCCAAATTACAGCCTCCGCTAGTCATGTTAACAGAACATTCCTCAGCCGTATCATTTAAAACTGTTGGAAAAATGTATCACCTTTTTCACATTTCTTTTCCCACCATCCTTATCAATAAATTAACCAAAGTTCCCCACACGTAGCAACTCCAACACCTTGTTTTTGTAACATTTTTGATGGATGACAGAACAGCTCAGCAACAGATGCACCATTGTTTACACGTATTTCAGACACAAAGTGTGCGCCGAAGCTGAAAGTGTGCTTCAACGATCTTTACTGGAGCCAGGTTTCCCATAGGAAAGGTCAAGTTCCTTCGGAATCATCATTATCTAAAACCTGAAGGCAGTAAAGCTTAGCGTCATTCAATGTATCTGTATTCGAGTATCTGTTATTACTGCAGCTCTAACAACAAAACTTCCTGGAAAAAAGACTGTAGAATTGTGTCAACCAGCCACTGTGGTATCCTTGCACTGGTATCTGCAGCCTTACCATTGATATACGCCACCTGATTTCTTCCATAGTCGTTGACCATGCGAGGTTGCATCTCACACCTTCTTTCAGACTGGGACGGCCAGTTGAACAGTGTCTCCCTCAGAGAACCGTCCAGGACTTTCATGAAACAATGTGAGTCTGCATGGCTGTGAATGGAGCTAAAAACAGAAAAGAAAAGACCACACAATCCTTACACATTGCAAAGCAATGAAACATTCTTGTTGGTTCCAGAGCTTTCATTCAAACTTGTATGCAGATGCATAGCACTAACTGAGACAGTAGATTTAATCATTTTGGATTCCTAATAACTAAAAAAATAGCAAGTTTATTTGTTTGCTTATGTACTGAAGCAAGAGAAAATAATTCATGAATTTACCAACACTGATTCAGTGATGATTATTTGTTAATTTCTGAGGATATTTATGCAAAATATGTTGGCAAATGCGTTCACCTTATGCATGTATTTAATGAAATACTCTCCTAAAGAAAAACAACACACAACATACACATGCTGTTGAAACTGTTTTCCACACAGTACATACATGTAATGTATGATTTCATTACACACACCGAAAAGAAACGTAAGCACTCTCTTGGCACAGTTTCAATTTTCAATCGTGCAATGTCATGCTGCATTTCCAAGGGAGACATGCACATCAAATAAAAAACATTACAATAAATTTCCCAGCACAGAGCTTCCCTGATTGTCCACAGATCTACTACGGGAACTTCTAATTCTAACATTTTTCTACAAACACTCAAACAGCATCCACAAAAGCTGCCTACATGCCTGCTGCATGCAAAATCACGACTTTTATTTTAGTGAACACACATTCCTAAGTTTAAAAAAAAAAATTGTTACACATTCTTGATTTACAAATTACTTCAAAATGAATAGAATTTTCAAGTTTTGTACCTACCTTCCCATGCCTTCTCCCCAGCACAGGACCATGAGATTAAACTTGCCATTGCCCTGGTCAACCAAATTTCTGGTATACCTTGAGAAAGGAAGACAACCCAAAATTTCTGGGTTAAAAAGATATATTATCATTTGCAAAATGTAGCAAACTGATGGAAGTTGTACATCGGACAGTCGGCAGATTCCCTGGAAACCGACTGCTCATGTCTCCAATCTGTTCCAAATTGCATGGCCTGGTACTCGTATCCAACATTAAACCGTTACGTTGTAACCTCTAAGACAATGCAAAAAAGAAAGGTTTGGAAGTATTGCTCTGATAGTTAAAATAAGATAATAAGAAAGGTAAAATACATGTACCTGCATCAGTGGTATGCCCAAGGGGGGAGGAGCTTGGGTGCTTGAGGCTCCCCCCCCAAGATTTTTCTTTTTTTTTTTGTTTATTGTTTGTACTTTCTCAAAAACAAACATACAATGTACCAAAATTGAACGTTGTAAACCACATGTGCAAGTTCCAACATACATGTACAGTACTTGTTGCAGTACATCCCAGTCCCCTGCAGTGCAGGGGGGGGGCTTTAGCATCATGATCTACTTAAGGGATAATGTCCAGTCTGAGACCACCCCCTCCAACAAGCCTGTGTGCCACTGACCAGCATCTAGATGCATTTGGGTATCTTTAATGATAATTCATGCATCATTCAACATCAACATATGCTTCATGCAAAGGCAGCAGTCTTTTATATTGATCGATTCTTTGATGTCCAAAGGTTTTAGAGAGTGTTTTGGGATACAGTAGGTGAAATTGAATTGCATTTTTCACATTGCCTTTATCTTACTGATTAATTTTCATCTTTTTGAATTTTTGGAATGGGTTGGGGTTGCAGGTACCCTAGTCCCTGTACGTTTCATCTTACAAGGCACTCAGTTGCCCCACTTTCTTTCAGTGCACATCCTTAACACTAACTAACAACAGACGGATGTCACTTGTCATCTAGCTTCACAGGGACATTTCTAGACAAACACCTTCAAATGTTCCAAACAAAATATCTGTACACCTGATTTTTAAACTTTGAAACGCTTCAAGTTTGTTGAACTACTAATATTAACTCAACAGCATTCCGGAAAAATGTCTGTTGATGAACAACAGAACAAACACGCCACAAAGTCTGACAATCAGCGAGACAAGCGTGGTCAATGGCATCCTTGCCAACACTGTAACTTATCGGTCACTACATCTGCTGAATGCTACATGTAACTGAATCAACATGACAAAGATCAGTGATAAGTTTATTTGCTCTTACCACACCCTGCATATGATTTTCTACAAAACAAACAAATTTTATCTCTTGAGCGAAGTTTCATCACAAACATAGGTCTTCGAACTATTGCCATTTTGTGCCCGTATAGTTTACCTAAACTTTCAGCCATTCTACTCGACTGATCCTTCAAGTACATGATACTACCATGGACGATCCATCGCAATTATAATCATATCTCATGGTTTGGGCATATCAACCCCTTTCCTCAGGGTTTGGTTTTTCTGGGACACCCTGTATAGAACTTCTCCCAAACATACAAACAATATTGTCTGAATAATTAAGATTACTGTTCAGGCTGTTTACAGACATGTACACTCCCCTACCAGAACTAGTTAGGAACACCAAAATCTTTGAAAATAATTATCCAATTGTGTTCAGAATCAAATATACAGGCTTCTAAGGCACAATCTTTCACTGCCAGATTTATTTCAGTAAAACTGGTGAAAAATTGGGCAGAAAGAACATTGTAGAAAGGCCTATCCATGAACACTTTGAGTCACCATACATGGCAAAGAACATCTAACACAGAAAAATCGGAACTTTCTGTTCCCCTGTCATGCCTGTATTCCACAAATATTTCCTGATTAAAGTCTTAAAATTGAAGCTTGTGCTAAGCATTTATATCATTCTGAACGGGTGCTAGTCACTTCGCCCCTAACCACTTTGCCCCATCCCCACTTCGCCCAACCCCCTTATCGCCCAATTTCCACCTTGCCCCACTGAAATGGTTCTTTTTTTTCTTTTAGTTTAAGAAGCATATGCAACAAAACAAATCAGAGGCTCTACTCCAGACAACCTGCAACTTAGGCAAAGGTTCAGTGTATAGACATGGCCTATTTTCAACTGGAAGTCGCATGTATTTATTCACCAAAATCAAATAACTGAGATGAAGATGGTGCGGTTTTCTGTTCTTTTTTCTGAGAGGTAGGTCTACCAGTTTGTCAAGAAAAAGTTATTCAAAAACACCAAAATTTCTCAAATGAATGCTTTAAAAAGCAGAGAACGGGGATTTGGGAAACGTTCATTTTTGTTTCATTTGTTAATTCAACCATGGATGTCAGAAAACACGGTCAACAAGGGTATCCCAGTAAAAGTTGCACAACTTCACGTAAATGTCCAGCTTCATGTAATTTTGTATGCTTTGAAATAGCGGATGAGGAACTAAACCCAATTCAAGTCCAACTATTCATTTCACGAATGTAGCCAACAGTGAGCAAATGCCACAGTTTTATACATGTGTACGTAACTCCATGGTAACTCCATGCCCTTTCGGGAAACCCTTTCCGATCGAGCTCCCCTCTTTTGGAGAGGCAAACACCTAAAAGCACAGACGGTGCGAAGTGGGAATATGGCCAAGTGGCAATTGGGCAAAGTGGCAATGGGGATGAAGTCATGCAAGTGGTTACGGGCGACGTGGAAATAGGGTCAGGTGACTGTAAAGCTTCTGAACACGACTTGATAGTTATTTTCAATGATTTTGCTGTTCACAAATGTTTTGTAGGGACATTAACATACAATCTTTCCTAAAAAGGCCTACCCACATAAAAAAAATCGACGATAAACATGTTGTAGGCTAGGCTACATATTGTATTCGACCTCCCAATTCATGCAATTCACATGATACAGGACTGGTTCAGCATGTTCACGGTCCAATAATATTCAGTGATAATTGCTAGACTCAACATGCTCAATACCGGCATAAGACCTAGCCTACAAGGACTTTAAAACATACGTACAAAATTGTCTTGATTACCCTATAAAAAAGATCACTGGCACAGTGACACTGTTTACACTTAATTAGGCTAGGCCTACAATACAGGTAGGCCTAGTCCGAGGACCCTACAAATCGCCTCTTTTAAACATAATTACTGTCATAATGTCCAAGTGTTTAAAAAGGCGGTTTGTAGGCAGGTAGGGTCCAAGTTACTCAGACTAATGTGGCCCCCTACCGTACCTATGTTCATCGTAATGCGCAAAGCAATCCCACTCCTCTTCGCGGCTGTCGTATCGTTCCATAACTTCTTGCACCTCTTCGATGTTTACTTTCTCCTCCGAGAAAAGAACGTGAAGACTTTCGATCAGTTCTTGGATGTTCTGTGGGCTTTTGTTATATGTTAACTCCCTCCTTTCCATTGTTGTACTTGCTTCCAATATTCTGGTTTTCGAAAAGAGTACTGTTCACTGAAGTGACGCAGGATAACGTCCAAATTTCGTTATTTCTCAGATGACAGTGACGCAAACGTGACCGGGTGTACATGTGTACGTGTATTCTGTACATTGACTTCTATGTACATGTACATGTACATAATTTTATGCGGTATCGATACGCAATGTGCTGTACATGTACATGTACAGTGTACATGTACTGTACAGCAGGTACGTACAGTACATGTACACAAATCGCTATGGAGGAAGAGCGGCATCCTGAAGCTTTCAACGTACTATTGTATTCATACGTGAAAAGGTATCCAACTATAGTTGGCTCATTGCCAAGAAAAGGCTAGCCATTCAGTAACGTTATGCCATTGGTCAATTCAGGGGGTGTGTAAGTATAATGCTACATAATGCATGAGTAAAATTTAGCGAAAATTGTGCACTTTAGTCTTCTTTCGCTCGATCAGTGGTCGTCACCCTAGTCTTGGCCCAAGACGTCAGTGATCGATAGTTGTTTTATTTCTGTTGAAGAGCGCCCTCGCACACCTAGATTTAACCTACTCGAGCTGGCACACAGTCTGATTGTGAGTCGGTAGGGGGCGCACTATGCACGGTGTACGCTATCAAGCACTAACGTCTTCAAACCAAGACTACCGTCACCCATGCCAGGCGCCCGAACAACATAGCGATAGGCTGGGAAGGGCTGATGTCTTTGCACTGTGATTGGCTACTATGAGCACGACCTGCGACTGTGAAGTTATCACTTCCTGTCAGCGAGGCGTCATTTGATGAAGTCCTTGGTTGGCCAATGCTTCAAATTGGTCAAAATATAAAAGCATGGCCTCGGTACAATCACGGAAATTTATTTTCTTCATAAGTATCTGACCACAAGTTTTTTTGCGATATATTTAAATCATTGGATATCTACATCAATTTCGGATGAACTAAAGAAAAACGTGGCAGTGAGGAAGAAAATGAAAAAAAGAGCTCGCGCGCCGGGCCAAATTTACCCACAATGCTCTATAAAATTAACTAAGGTTGCACTACACTAAGTACGCGCCCATAGAAAACAGTGCTAAATCGGACCGAAATAGCGCCGCCTGTTGACTCTCTTGAAGAGGTTGGCCTGCGTTTTTACACTGGAAATTCAAGATTATGGCCCGAAGATTATTTTTCGTTTCAATTTCATGGAGGTTAGCCACGAAATTTTTTTTATTCGCCTTTGAACGAAGATACCCCCCAAAAGAGCAGTAAAACTAAACGCTCATTTCTGAATGTAGCCGCCCGCCACTATCCAAAATAGGTCCGCAAATTGGGGCTTTTTGTGAAAAAAATACCCCGAACGGGAAACTATCAGTCTTAATTCGGGATTCATAGAAATATTTCTGTGATGCCTCCTGATTAGGGCCTGTCTCATTTTGAAAAACCTGCGGGATCACAAAATATTAATGAGCTCGCGCGCAGAAATACAACCACTTCGTGGAATGCACCCCCAAAACTGGACCTGGAATAGAGTCTGAAAGTTTACCCCTGATGGCGCGCTTCCGGTGTGGCGGTCTCAGCTGTCTCCTGGTCTTAGCGGTTCCCCTTAACCAAAATAAAAATACGTCATGCGACACAACAACGGAAGAGGCGTTCGTTTTAAGTGGCGTGCTGAGCAGTGCAGTCACGCATGCTCACGTTGTACGCGACGTGTACTATACCTAGGCCTACACCAAAGATCAGTAATAGCACCGCTTAGAGTACCGTGCGAATGAGTCATGCGGACATCTCAGCACGGAAGACCAACGAGACCGTGCTTGTGACGTGCTGAAATGTCTGGCTATGTCGGGGGGGGGGGGTTGCTGAGACCGGGAGACAGCTGAGACCACCACACCGGAACCCTTGGATAGGAAAATAACGTGCACAGATTTTAGAATTTGTAGTATTTTTTCGTTCAGTTAGGCCTACTTCTTTAAAAATCCGACTCGGAAAAGGGGCTTTGGAAAGTATTTGCTAGTATATCAATTTACAGAAACTGAGAAGCACCTGTCCAAAAAGAGAAATACCGGTATCCAGCCAAAAACTGACCCATCACTTCCGAAAATCTAAAAATACATGTACATGAAGAACAGCGCAATGCATATGCAGCAAGGTATGAGACGGAGNATGAGGCAGTCTCGTACGCAAATGAACATACGGTTTGAAATTTTATGGTAGTCTTCGGTAAAAGCCGAAATAAAAACAGATCAAAATTTTTTAAATACTCTTACAATTTATGAGTAATAAAATTAAAGCAATATTCTACTCCAATTACGAAAGATTCAAGTCTATTATCTAACCTTGGCTGACAACAACTGCGTGATGTCAACTCAACGGAATCTGGAACCCATCCACTGCATATGCAGGTAGGTAAACCTTTGCAAGGTTGTACAATCTCGTAGGTTTCACGTAAGCGCGGGCAGGGACAACAAACGTGTATGAATATGAAGACCTTGGTACGATATCGCCGGACGTGAATCTTCATATTCATACACGTTTGTTGTCCCTGCCCGCGCTTACGTAGGTTTCACGTAAGCGCGGGCAGGGACAACAAACGTGTATGAATATGAAGACCTTGGTACGATATCGCTGGACGTGAAAGGTCGTTGAGAAAATTCGTTTTTTACCCATCTCCAGGCGACTTTTCCTAAATATTACTTGCATAAGACAAAGGTAGAATTCCAACATGAGTGTTTCATTGGGAGGTTTCAGTTAGGAATTATTCTTCCAAAAATTATCGAATGTGATAGAACGGCCCAATGTAAAATCCCCAGAGGAGGACCGCGTTTCAGGAAGCTCGCGCGTGACTTTTTACTTTCAGGCTCTATTGTAGGAAAATTAGACATTTAAAAAGGATTTAATTTGCCTTTCTGTGCTCAGTCGCTAATTTGTTGCAACCCAGGGCCCCGACGTACCGAAACGTACATTTTCATTGGTCTTTTTAGGTAAAATTGGCATATAGACAAAAGAACCATTTGATACGGACAGGTACCAGCTGAATGACTTGGCGCACTGGTGAACAAAGAATTGAGGTAATGCTTAAGATTATTAATGCATTTAAACACCATTGAATAGGAATAACAACGCTTTTTTAGACCTTCCAAATAATTCCCTTTCTTTTGCTTTTTTACTTATTTCCTCGCCCATTAATTTATTATGGAAACTGAAAATTACCTGACCAGAAAGAAAAATACGGTAAGGAGTGTTTCCTGGGGTGGTTTAAATTAGAAATGATTCTTTCAAAAGTTACAGAACGTTATTGGGTGACCCGTTGCAAAATCAGCATAAGTAGGCTGGGTGAAGTTCTGGATATTTGCCACTTAAGTTTGCCTTGAAGCTCTGTCCCTCAGACAGATATTTTATGTCTCGTCCTTATAATCCATTCCCGGTGATGACATTCTTGGAAGTAGCGTGCCTGGTGCCTGCCGTGCTCCTAGCCTGTGTATGAACTTGCACTGCGCAGGCGTGGTAACATCTTTTTGGCGGCGTTAATCCCCAACGTGCGTAGCCTTAGTTCCAAGACCTTCCAGTTGTTCAATGACACAGCGAACCATCACACGTACCGTACATAATTATGTACATGTAAGTGTACATAAATCGTACGTGTACATGTGCAGGCGCTGTCACCACAGGCTGTCACCTCACGATTCATGTGGGGATAGCGCCCTCTTATAGTGTACGTGTGTGGTTCGTGTCGCGGCATAACTACCGGAAAGTCTTGGATCCAAGACTACAACTTGCGCCGCTCCGTCGGCGTGATAATACGATCTTTGACAATGCCAAGTCTTTTCTTCGGCTGGTGGATTGACGTTTAGGGGCCAAAGTCCCCCGACGTGTTGCCCAGGTTTATTTCATTCTTTCATTTATTTTTGAAATTGAAAACGCCTGCATCTTACAAACGATATTGCCACTTTTTTCGGGGGGGGGGGTAGCGAGAATTTTTTTAATAGAAAAAATATGCAGTCCTTTTTAGACAAAAATTTCCGTGTGGGCACTAGGAGTGGACCATGTACATGTATATATAAGCCGGAGAGTTGCGGCAACTTCAGACGTTCGAACAAAAATGGCTTTTCATTATGTCATGCAGCTATTGTGTACATGATGTGAACGGCTGATGCATAATCCACCATTTTAGTTCAATCAAGGGTGCAGTCTACTAATTCAAGTGAGAATTTCTGCCCAGCTCATCAGCATGAAAGTGCCACCCAGTTTCTTTTGAAACTGCGGATTGTTTGGCTACCGAATTGGTGAGACTGTGTAAATCTTTAACTCCCTTGTTCTTCGGGCCATGTTCTTCAGAGGGCAGAATGAAAAAAGGTCCTACCTGTAGCCTCAGTGCTCGAGAAAGTACATGTAGAGGGAAGCCCACTTCGCTCGTCGCCCCGCGCTCGTTGGGGCCGGTGCAGTGTCCCAATTCAAGGCAAATTCTCCGCAAGGCAGAGGCGCTCAAAAAGTACCCCTTCCTTTTTTTTCTAGATAGAGGAGTTTGTGTGGCCCACGAAATTGTGGAGTTGAGTAAATATGACCCAGGATCAACTCCCTAGATTAAGGGCTCTGATCCAAGGGAAAAGCAGAGCAAATGCTAAAGAAAAAAAATGTCCGAAGAGCGGGAGAGCCCGGGGTGAAGCGGTGTCACTTGAAAAAATGGTTGCTGGAAGACTTAGGAACGTTCACTTGGGGGGGTTAAGTTTGTTTTTTGGCAAATGATTAAAAATTCAATTGGTTCACCGACTACAAGTTGAAAATCAAATGAAATCTGAAGGACCAAATAATAACACTTTGTTGTTTGTTTGAGAGGCCTGAGGGGTCAGTTGCCCGCACCGGAGCTATGAACTTTATTATTTTACACTGTTTTCAATTGGGCTTGAATTAGTTTAGCGAGTGCCGCAACTCGTCGCCAAGCGGCCGTAGTGGCGCCTGGCTAGGGTGCATTCCACCAAATGGTTGTATTTCTGCGCGCGAGTTTGTGATCCCGCGGGATTTTTACAATAAGACAGACCATAACCAGGAGGGCTCAAAGAAACATTTCTATAAATCCCGAATTTGGGACTGATAGTTTCCATTTCGGGGTATATCTTTCACAAAAGGCCGAAATTGCGGGCCTATTATATTTTTGATAGAGGCGGGTTGAAACATTCAGAAATGAGCGTTTAGTTTTACTTCTATTTTGGGGGTATCTTCGTTCAAAGGCGAAAACAAAAATTTTTGCGGCTAACCCCCATGAAATTGAAACGAAAAATAATCTTCTGGCCATAATCTTGAATTTCCAGTAAAAAAAAAAAGGAGGCCAACCTCTTCAAAAGAGTCAACAGGCGGCGCTATTTCGATCCGATTTTGCACTGTTTTCTATGGGCGCGTATTAGGTGTAGCGCAACTCTATGGCGCACTCCAGGGTGCACTGAACT